GTTGTCGTAAGGTATTTGTAATATTAGTTATATGAACATCCCATCTCAAGTGGCGATCAATGGTGACACCCAAGTATTTATAGTTTTTCACAGATTTTAAAGATATACTTTGTTTCATTAAAAGTTGTTCATACTGAGGTAGACAACGTACTGTATTAGAAGAAGGCATAAAGAATGTTTTCTCATAGCACACGGTGAAAAGTTTATGAGCAAAATAATCAAAAATAGTTCCTTGATCCCGCTCTGCTTTAATTTTTACATTTTCCCAAGTGTTATCATCATACAGGACTACCGTATGATCTGCAAAGCTAAACACTTGACCAACTGACGAAGAAGTTAGAATGTTCTTTATGTAAATTCTAAACAAGATTGGACCCAACACAGTACCCTGAGGTAAACTGTAATCAACTGTCTTTTCATTACTGAATGTGTCACTAAGAATACGCACAGTACCGGTGTACTCAATTCTAATTTTCTTCTAATCTCTTCTGTTAACTTAGCAATTGCATCTTTGGTTGATATTCGCTCTCGAAAACCGAATTGCTTATCTGAAAGATATTTGCATTTGTCCAAAAATTTAACTAGCCTATTTTTCAATGTTTTCTCAAATATTTTAGCTATAATTATGATGACAGATATTGGTCTATAGTTATTCATGCTTTTTACATCAGCTTTTTTATGGACAGGTGTAACTAAAGATACTTTGAACCCTTCTGGGACTGGGACTTGAAATATAAATCTGGTTGATTAAGTGAAATAGCGGCATTGAAATAATGTCAGCAGTATATTTAAATATTTCGGACTTCAAGTTGTCAAAACCGGGCGATTTTCCATTTTTTTATGTGTTAATGATTGAGGTTGCTTCAGTCACATCTACCGCCTCTAAGAAAAATGTACTTTGATGTATTTTCCTTTGCGGTCTATTTTTGTTTGGCCTCACAATGCGTTCAGCATAGTATTTGCCAATATTTACAAAGTTGTGATAGTATATTTTGATACTTTCAGCTATTTACAAGTAACAATAATGCCCTTGACATTTCAGTACCATGTATTTTACAGTCAGTATCGATAGCTTTTTCAGATCGCGCTCAAAGCATAGTCCAAAGAAGCAACTTTCATACCTGTAGATTCCAAAAGAATTAAGGCTGCAAGGAGTTTCTGTCAAATTATGTTGAATTGAAAAATTAAAGAACAACTTGCATCTGTCCTCGTTATATACTTACCACCGACCAGTCAAGCCGCTGCTTAAATTTGATGTTCTGAGTATAACAAGTATGTACATCTATATCAATCCAGAAATTGTTCAAAGTAAAACCCAGCCATATCGCTTTTTGTTTTATCAAAGGCAGCCTCGTTCCCATCTGCAAAGGCCGTTATCGTTTTTGCCTCTGTCTGTATCCCGGCATGGCAGATCCATCCATCTATAGTCCCTTTTATAGCTTTGCTACCAGGCAGAGAGAACGAAGAGAGATGTTCGAAGCATCTCTCGCATAATTGCTATTATATTCCAGTAATGATTTCCTTTGGATAGGTAAAAATATAGCTTTATGATTTCCACTCTGTAGTTGCTGCAGGCGCTGCTTTGTAGGAAATACTTTAAATGTGAGCGGTGAGCGGTTCTTATGGAGCTCGGAGAAGAAAAAGACAGACGGAAAGGAACGTAGACAGCATTTGGGAACTAAAACCTTGGAAAGAAATTAAATCGCATTTTGCGACAAAGACAAAAACCTCAAGCTGGAAGACCTGACGTGTTCTCTGTGCCAGTCAGGTGTTTTCCAAAACCAACCTTACGGCGGACCAATTTTTTGCCTAGTGTCTCAATAGTAGATCCTGGCATCCAGAGCTTGTGGGAAGAATCTAAGTCTACGAAAAAAAAAAAAAACAAAAATCGTTCGGTAACTGAATCTGTAACCACATGTAACAATAAATTATGTTAGGTTTTTGAATATTGTGACGTCTTTGTTATGAATGTAGATACTTAGCAATCTGATATACAAAAAGACACCTTTCTATCAAGAATCGGTGACAGAAAATGAACATGCTAAGCCTTTTGATTACTAAAAACATGTTTGTCCAAAAGATTTCTACGAAACTCCAGTTACGACCATCTGATTCTCAGATATCAATTTCTTGGCCCTGTAGTTCAAAAATTTTCATGAATCTTGGAAAATTACGACTGACACATGATACACTTAGATGCTGAATGGTAGTAGCCAGGGGACAGCTTTGTCAGGTTGACATCAGTTTTAATTTTGCTGTGAGATCTAATAGCATTTTTAACAAATGCTGCCAGCTGTGAAAGCTATTCCCCGGCTACTGCCATTCAGCATAAGAGCTCTGCACGGATGGACCGCTTTACGTTAGCTGAGTGCGTTCATTTTTAAGTAACAAGCAGATTTATCATGATGTTGTAGTAATATGGCAACTAGTGCTATTTGCCAAGGTCGTTGTGTGTTTAAGACCGTCCAGGTGCCTGTAAACATGATGCCTCTATCGAATTTGGTAATATTTGTAATTTTTATGTATGTAGAAGTGTCCGTTATGCAATTTAAAGTAAAAATGTTTGCGGTCGAAGTACTATCTTTTACACACACAAAAATATTTCCATATATCCACAAAGCACTACGAACAACGGTACCGCGACTTGTCAAAATTACGGAACCCTAAAACATAACCGACTGAAGGTACCTTTGACCGTCGTACAGATAGCGGTATTGTTACACATTTCCATATACAGTAGACTCTCAACTATCTGGCCTAAGGTGGCGGGCAGCTAGTTTGGATAACGAAAAAGCCAGATAATGCACATAATTAATGATGCACCTATACATACATAATAATAAGTATATTATATTAAATAGATTTTAATAATCTACGTATGAGTTACTTTTTAAGAAAATCATCTATTTTTGCCTGCTTTGCCCTCTGTGTTCTCTTTTTCGCTGACAAGTCCCCCCACATATTTCTTCAAGCTTTTGCTCAATTGTCACGACTACTTTCTTTCGTTTATCATCATGAAATAAATTCAGTTCAATTCGCAAACAAAACAACTCGCTCATATGTAACGTATCTATGCACTGAATGAAATATGCATATGTACATAATATGTATGCAAGTACATACTACAACACGTAAACCTGTTCTTACTCGCAAAAATTATGTTTAGCGGCGCCGGGTCCTTGGCGAGCCGCGTAGTTCAGAGCTTATTGTATGTACATAAATATATCAAGGTTCAGTGGAAAAACTCACTTTAATAAATTTAGACGCATAATAGAAAAAAGATTCACAGCTCATTTCTCTCACTACATCAGTCCTCCATCGTGGAACAAAGAAATCGTAGGTAGTAGACGGTCGTAGCTGGTAAATGGTCTCCGACCATTGAACGAAGGGGTACCACACGACGGATTTCTAAGGCGTGACCCCTATAGCCCCACGGTACCATGGGTGTTTAGGCCTCATTCCTCCGTGATGGTTCAAAATTATATAAAAAGCGCTTCAGCCCCGCTACCCTATTCTATTTGTTATTTCATTGTTCCATTTTTGTGTTTGCATTGGGTATATATCGTGGAATAAAAGGAGAGTATACCAATTTAATTTTTTTTTTATGTGAAGAATAGTAGATATTTCGCTCGTAAAAATGTTGGTTCTAATTTACACAATAGAAAATAGACACTTCTACATAAGTAGAAATGCAAATATCATAAAATTCGGTGGAGGCATCAGGTTTACCGGTACCATGAGCACTCCAAGACGTAGCGTAATCAACGTCGCCAAATGAGACTAATTTGACGTCGCTATAGCACACCTATTCTGTCCTCTAACATTCTTTGCGCACATTTGGGCGACTTAATTTATGAAGGGACGTATGCAGTACGCGCTCGACCTAAGATTCAGAAATTACATGTTCAATTATTACACGAATTCACATCCATGCAGCACTTACGGCGTCTGATTATGAGGAGCTGAGGAGATCATGAGCAGGCGGCTGCTCCTCGTTAAGTCAGTCGTTTTCCAATAACAATTCGACACCAACAGCAGCAGCCACCCAGTCTTATTGTAATAAGATGAACTAATTAACATCGCGCATAGAGAGTGTTAAGTGATGTCTCCATACAAATAATTGGATATATCCGGAGAAAGACGGAGACAGAAGCGAGATGACATGTGTGATACTTCGACATAGACGTAGGCCAATCTGGTATATACTGAAACTTCATTCAACAATTGTTTGCCTTACTGAATAATAATAAGCGTTTATTGCCCAACAGTTTAACACCATTTACAGAGCAAACTACTATATAAAAAAAAACAAAATCACAATGAGGTAGCTTGTGAAGAAAAAAGAAACAATAATAATTACAAGTTCATGTATCAATAACAAAAAATAAATATAGCTATTTTGCACTTCAATTCACCTATGCTACATAAGAATATGTCACATACATCGGCTATTTTATTCGCATTCACACGCATCATGTTGACAGGCGCTTTCGACAATAAGTTTGTTTGAGCTCTTTGACATAAAAAAGGAACATTATACCTTGATGTTAGTCGTGGTACCAGAAACTGTATTTGTGAAAGTATTGTAGGGCAGTCTATTAGATTATGTAGTAATTTATATAAAACTATAGCTTTGCAATTTATTTATTTGACCTTGAACAAATACACAGTCTTCCAAGCATGAAACGGATCATTTACAAACTTATATATGAACAACAGTGGTCCTAAATTCGAACTCTGTGGTACGCCACTGGTTGAGACATAAACATGTGATATGTAGCCATTATAAAAAAAATACTGTTTCCTTTCAAACAGATATGATGTTAAGAACGCTAAGTAAATGTTGTTGAAGCCCAGGTACTCAAGCTTTCGGAGCAAAATACTGTGGCTGACCCTATCGAAGGCCTTGGAGAAATCGGTGTACACCACATCTACATGTCCTCTATTGTCTAATCTATCGCACAAGTATTGGTTAAATACCATTAACCCTTCGCCGGTCGCGCAGCGGTACTCCATGCCGCAATTTAAATTTTTAATACATTTTTCTATCGGTATATTTGTCCTACGCCCTGGCCGTCTAGGTATGCAATCATGTCTATTTTTAGGAGCGCCTGGCTTGCACGAAGTTTATTGGTGTAAGTCTGTCAGTTTGTTTCGGAGCGTCAAAGTAACGAGAGCTGATCTGCGGTATTCCGTGCCGCAACGCGACCGGTCATGTAAGTAAAGTTTGAAATGATACCTTTTGTATTTTTGATATATATATTGCACAGAAAACTTTATTGTAAATAGTCTAAACAATCTGGCATTAGTTTTCAAAGTTTTGTAATTATTTTTGAAAAAAAAAATATAAGCTCGGTATTTTTTTAGGGATAGAAGAGCCTTCAGGAAACCACTTACTGAGAAAGAGTTACGTTACCTAGCGGAGAACTGGTCTGATTATGAGGATGATGTCGATTTTGAGAGTGAAAGCTGTTATATGCTCTTTGTGACAGTAAAACGTATTACACTTGGAAATTTGGAATATATTGTGGATTACAACGTGAGGGACCCTTCAAAAATTCAAACACAAAGAATCACAAGAAGGTGGCATCTAGCAATATTCTTTAGAATTTTAGATATTGCAGGAATAAACTCCGAAATTATAATCAATAATAATAGACCAGCAGATACGCCGCCAAGAAGAAGGAAGTATTTGACCTCTCTAGGTTCATCCCTTATGGAAAATAATCTAAAGGAACGCGCTAAGATAGAAACACTTCCTAAGGACATCAGGGAATTCCTATCTCGCTACAACACTCCTGTTAATGTCCCTATCGCACTGACTGAAAATCGGATTGGTCGTTGTCATATATGCAGTGCACACAAAAATAACAAAACAACAGTTACTTGTAGTCAATGCAAAAGATTTGTTTGTAAATCACACTGTGAAAAATTGGTGCAATGTAATAGTTGTCTTTATCCCCCAATGGAGGAAGACTACTTTTTAAAAACTATATATACTCGTATATATATGTATATACATATATTCCTTTTTGTAAAACGTTTACTTGTAGAAATGTATTTTTGATTTTTATTACTTGAGAATCTCTTGATGTTTTTGTATTTACTTTGAGTTACAATACTTATTTAATAAATAAAGCATTTACTACGACTATAATTGTTTAGTATTGTATGTATTTTTCAATTTAAATCCATTTTACTAGTGAGGCTAGAATTATTTTACCTGCGGTATAGAGTACCGCGGTGCGACCGCTCATGGGATTTTCAAAGGCGCGCCCGCCGCAGGGTTAAGTTTGTTGATGTTGAACGCTACCTTATAAAACCATGTTGATCGATGGAAATATTATTTTTAGAGGACAGGTATATGCGGTGGTACAGTACGACCTCCAAGAGTTTTGCAAAATTATTGAGTATAGATATAGCCCTATATTCACTGATACAGTGATAATTTTTTGACTTTGGAATTGGACAACCTTTGGTAATTTTCCATTTATCGGGGAAAACAGTCGCTGTTAGGATTAAATTGAAGATAACCCGTAAAGGATGAACTAATTTCCTGATACAATCTCCAACAATAAAAGATGGGATTTGATCAGGTCCAGCAGTCAATTTACTTTTAAGCTTTCTACAGGCAACTAAAATTTCCTCGTCTGGTATTGGCTCACAACTAATGTCGACAAGTCGACTATGACTGAAATCAAAGTTCAACTCAGTATCGACATCAGCAGTTGAGTAAACGCTGGACAAAAAATCAGGGAAGGCGTTGACTATACTTTGCGGATCACCAAATGACTCGTTACCATACAGCATTCTATTGGGAATCCTAGAAGTGTTGCTTTTACTATGTACGAAAGACCAGAAAGACTTAGGGTCATCATTTAGCTGATTTTGAATGGTTTGAAGATAGATATTATATGGTTCTTTGGTTTTAAGCTTAAATATTTTCCTGAGTCTGCCGAATTCTTGGTAATCTTCGTTAGCACCAGACCTTTTACATTTTTATGAGCTTTGTCTTTTTGTTTTACTAGTTTTATAATTTCACTGGTGTACCAAGAGGGATATTTATGCCTGAAATTTTTATATTGTGGAACGTGTGCACCAAATAATTCGTAAAGTTTGCTATAAAATGCATGAATTGCATCATTTGTGTCACTAGTGTTATTCAAGAAATCCCAATTAACTAATAACAAAGAATTATAAAGCGAAAACAAGTCTAAAATTATATCTTTTTTGGTCAGTACTGACTGTGACGTATTCGCTCTTTTTGCAGACAGTTTTTAATGTTACAAACAAAGAAGGATGATACACGTCTTCATCCACTAATGGAGCTAAATGAAGGCAATTATGGAAAAGCTCTGATTAAGGAGAGTACGACCCAAAAGGATACAAAACTAAGTTCCATATTTAAATGTTTAAGAATGTTGTACCCTCAGAATCAAAAATATCGTTTCATTATTTGTATAGAGAACTCCTAAGGTCAACAAGTTTATATATTTTCAGCAACATACCGACTAAGTTTTGAATTCTCCTGATTGGTGCTTCCTACCCTAAAGGGCAACACAGAAAATCTATTTAAGGGAATCTTCAACAGAGTCGGTCGTTTCAAAAACCTATGTAATTTTTGTTACAAGATGGCTTTATACGCTTCCTTAAATGTAGTTGCATAATACAAGTCAATACAATCCGTCCTATGCAAATAAAACCGCGTAATACATGTTCGTTACAAAAACAACAACAACACCACCTGTGTTTTACACGCACTTCTTCAGGGCAAGTACTCGAATGGACCATTCCAAAAACAGTACCATGATCCTGGACTTGATTTGATTGCCGATTAATGACCAAGGTTAAACAAGTAAGTCTAATTACCTTTTCATAGATTGGTTGTAAAACAGAAAATTCTATTTTCCCAGATGTCCACTTTGAGTGGGTTTCCTCAATGTCTAAATGTAATTTTTGGTAATAAGCAATATAAAATATGATTAATATGATCGTTTACTTTTCTATATTGCGAGGCCATCAAAAGATCTTTTTTATAGCAAATTTTGTTCTCTATAAAAAGCTGATAGAGCATATATGATGTTGGGATACTAGTTTCGTAGTTAAAACAAGAATATAATTACTTGTAACTCTGACGTTTAATTTCTCGTGAACTGTCAACCGTATGGTAAAAGTGGACGACGAATTTAGTTCTGCACAAAAAAGATCCTATCACTTTCTTATACAAGATGCATAGTTTGAGAGAGACAAAACGAGATGCGCTTATAAAAATGGCGGCTAAAATGTCGCCCGCATTGTGTCGAAAATATCAGCAAAGGAAACGTATTGTAGAATTTTGGTATACCAGTCTCCATGTCCCCTGGCCTAGGATCAAATATAACGATAGTTGCGCCCCTGACTATCAGTGAGTTAATTTTTTTAAAATTATATATAAATACGTTGATTCATTTTCTCCTATACATAATGAGAATCGGCCTATATGGTACATGCATATATGCCGAGCATTAATATATGCGACGGATATAACAATCGAATGCTTTAATTGCTATTTAAGCACCTTCATTAACAGCGCGCGTTTGGTGCTGTTAAGTGCATATGGGCCTATTGTTTTGAAATGTTCCGAGGAGAAAATTAACAGATGCAATACAGTGCGCTATCGTTTTCACTTCATGATGTACGATTGATGAGGATAAATTGTTTGAAAGCGGACTCAAGATTTCTTTATTGCACATGCTATCGCTACTTTAATGCCTTCTACAGATGAAAGGTATTGACAGCAGAAATCTTTTAGAGAACCCGCATCCCACAACACATCTTTTGTTCTGTCATATTTATAATCAGATCTTTTGCTTGTGAAGTATTATCACGTTTGGTACTACCTCCTGTTTATATTTATCTATTATATTTATATATTTGATCTATAATACATGTCGTCAGATAGATCAGAACTTACCGGATCGACGCAAATGGGTAAACTCAGCAGCTCCACATAAAATAAATTGTCAAACAGAACCTGAAAGAAAGTAATCCTGTGCAAGCCCTTCAAACAAGACAGCGTAGTCTTTTCTTGAAATTACACATAAATGGACTACTATGCCTTATCCTGTGTCTTAATTCTACAATATATGCAGATATCACTTTGTATACTAGGGAATGGAAATTAGGAGAGTTTGAACGTTCAAGATAACAGCTGCTGATCCAAGAGCATACATCGATAAATCAAGAAATAGACTTACAAGATCACTATTAAATGTGTTTCAAGATTTCTCAGAGCCGTCCCTGCTTTCCAATAATACACAATTGTACATGTCTCCTCCTACCAGTAACCAAAAACTCTAGCAGAACGTTTTAGCCAAACGAACGGTTTATCTGAATTCGCGCAGTACTCGTGTATTAGGGAATTTATTTGCATAGTTGGTAGCATTGTGTGTAAGTTCTCCTTCTACACCCAGTCGATTTCAGTATACGTATATAGGCGAGAACAGCTAGCAGGCCTTAGGCGGGTAAAATTTGAAGAAATTCCACCCTTCAGCTGTGGAAAGTGTGTTGATCAGAGTTCAAGGAATCATTTTTTTATAAATGAATGCACCATGAGTATTTGGTTCGCTACAAAGTTAGAGGTGCTTCCGAAGATCATTAATACATCAACACTTATTGATAAAAGGATCTGCTCTTATTCAATTAAAACTGCATTTCGTATTCCATAGAAACCTCCGCAATTTCCGGCAATTGATGGAACACTCGTCTGTATTTCATGTTTTGCAGAATGTGAATTTTCAACTGCTCTCAAACTGACAGCTTAAGCCTGATCGACTTGTATAAATTTGGACCTTGACTTCTGCCTAGGTAATACTGGTCCAATACAAATGGTATGCTTGCTAGTCTGAATTCATTGATTGTGTCATGTAGCTCAACTGTAACTAGTGTAGCAAGGTTATGTAAGAGCCTCCATGTCTGTTGTTTCAACCCTTTATAGAAAAGGTTTATGGATGTTTATGTTATTTGACATTGTCTGCGATGCACCAAACTGATCACGAAAATTTCGACGTTTTAATCAAAAGGAAAATATTCCTCTTCAAACTCAAGGAGATGAATTGAAGAGAATAGCGATTCGTTGTCAGTTGAGGTTTTCAAAGTAGACTGAGCATTTTTATTGGAAAAAATTCGGATTCATTAGAATGAGTAAATTGAATGAATTAGTTACATTTGCAGCGAGTAAGAATAAAATTCCAATCCCCTGCTTTCAAATCATTTTTTATAAATGTATACGCTATGCGCATTAGGTACGCTACAAAGTTAGAGATGCTTCCGATACGAGCTGCCAACCATCTTGAGTTAGTCACGTCTTTGGTAAGTAGCTTCATATTTTGGAATCTCTTGGAACCGAGAGGCCATCGTACATAACAGCTTAATGAAGGGAAACTAATAGGGACCAGGCTCCACTGTTTTATCGGTATAAAGGGACTGGACCATGACCAAAAATGTCACGTATCAGTCGAATAACCTCCTCTAAACGGTGTAAGCAAGGCAACGCTTTTTTCAGA